GACATGTGGTGGTGTAATTTGAAAATCTTATCTCTAATAATCATCCCAAATACTTAGTCATAATGTAATTGTAATAGCTAGAGTTGGAATATAGAAGCTCATATAGCAGAATATTGGAGGGGATGGGCGTTCTCTTTTCTTGCGGCTAGTCTTCAGCTTTTTGCTTAGGTCTATGTTTGCTTTTTAGATTTCCTTAGGTCCTCTAGGTCTAGTCCTTATTTTGTATTTTCACTGATAGTCTTCTATAGAAAACGGTGGATCCCCTTTTAAAGACTAGGTTTTTAGGGTTTTTTTTGTTAAGGGGTATGAGCCTAGAAATTATGGGCTAGATCCGAAAATTAGGCCTAAAAATGGGTCGCTTCAGCCCAATTTTATTCTCTCCGTAAACGACATTAAAATACGACCTCATTTACTAATTAATCCTATTTAAGTAAAATAGGTATTAAAATAAGAGTGACCGTTAAACAAAACTATTTTTGGTATTTTTCAAGATTAAAAATGACTGCAAAATATTAATGAAACTATTTTTTTGTAATTTTTGTTTTCTTGTAATAAAATAAAGTAAAAGAATAAAAATGAGTTAAATTAGCTATATTAGGCCTAAATTAAATATTTACGTGTTAAAATATGAAAAATCTTGGGGAGGGTCAAAAATCATATGTCTACAGTGAGTTGTCTCTGCGGATCCATATTGATATTATTGGCACGTGAGTTGTCAATGCAGCACGTGAGTTGTCCGTGCGGATCCATATATTGATACTATTGAAATATGAGTTATCCATGTCGCACGTGAGTTATCCGTGCAGCGTGTGGAATTTCCATTTCCTTGATCATTTATCTGATTTAATTGTTTCCTTCCTCTACATGCTATGTTATTGTTTGATCAGGTATTTGAGAAATTGTGCACATGCACACATAGATATTTTTTTCACGAAATTTGACGTGTTGGTTTTAAATATTGTTCTGTGCTGGTTTAAAAAGGCATAACCATATTTGAATAACTAGTATCACTAATAATTTAAGCTTCTCTTACCTTGCCTTATTTATTTACGATACTTATTGAGTTAGTTGTACTCACAATACACTCTGCACCTCGTGTGCATGTCCAGGTATTTCTGGGCACGGTGGTTGCTGATCTTGGAGTTTTTACCTGTTCAGAGATTATTGAGGTAGTTGCCTTGCGGTCCGTAGACCTTGACTCTCCTCCCCTATCTCTCAGTTTTACTTATTCTGTTCTACTTTCTTAGACAATGTAACATACTATGTTATTGTATAGATGCTCGTGTACTCAGTGACACCCGGGTTTTGGGGTAATTCTGTATTGAGTTGTGGCGTTTTCATCCAATTTATTACTTAAACCTATTTCAGAATATTTTAAATTTAAAAATGTTGGTATGTGTGAGTTGTCGGCTGGCCTAGTATCATGATAGGAGCCATCACGATATGTTGAGTTTTGGGTTGTGACAAAAATCGCCTTTCTAGGGCTCCAAAATGTGATAATGAGACTAAGTCCTGAAATCCCAAGTTTTTGTTCAATTGCGGATGTCGCAAATGTGACTTGGGGTTCACAAATGAGAATCCTACAAATACGACCATTGCACTGCAAATGCGATGCCTATTGAACCCAGGGAATGTCGCAAATGTGACACTAACTTCGTATTTGCGAAGTTAGTCTCCTTCGCAAAAGCAGCCAATTGGTCGCAAATGCCACCTACCCAACCCTAGAACCCTTTTCGCAATTGCGATGCTGGCTTCACAAATGAGAAGCCTGCCTTTCCCATCCCTTCGCAAAAGCAATATTCCGTTCACAAATGCAGTACTCGCAAATGCGAACCGGTGCTCGCATTTGTGATAACTGTAATACCAGCTGCTAAGAATCAAGTCTAAACCAACCCGAAACACGTCTGAAACTCACCCGAGCCATGGTGTTCCATACCAAACATCCACACAAGACTAAAAATATCATACTAACTCACTCGCGAATTCAAAACACCAAAATAACCTCCGGAAACCACGAATCGAACACCAAAAACACATAGAAATTTCAATAAAACTCAAGAATCGCTAAAATCATAGCTAAGCTTCCGATTCCTACCAATCCAACTCACAATGATATCAAACTTTGCAGATAAGTTCCAAATAACAAAAAAACTATTCCAAGTTCTGAAACCAAAATTCGAACCCGATAGTTATAAAGTCAAACCATGGTCAAACTTAGGAAATTTTTAAACCTTCAAATTGCCAACTTTCGTCAAAAAGAGCCAATTCAACCTAAGAACCTCCTAATTCAATTTCAGGCACACGCCTAAGCCCAAATTCACCGTACAAACATATTAGAACCATCAAAACATTGTTCCGAGATCATTTTCACAAAAGTCAAACCTCGGTCAACATTTCCAACTTAAGCTCTCAAGCTAAGAACCTACAGCAACAACAATAACAATAACAACCCAGTAAAATCCCACAAATGGGATCTGGGGAGGGTAGTGTATACGTAGACCTTACCCCTACCCCGAAGGAGTAGAGAGACTATTTTCCATAGACCCTAAACTCAAGAAAAATGAAAAGAGACTATATATCAGTACCATCAACATAAACCATAGAAATAATAACAACATCATAAGAACTAGAAAATAGATGAAAAACAAAAATAATAACCGGTAAATAAGGCCTGACACTATGAAAATGGAAGAGTAATGTGAACACAACATTGACTACTAGCAATCTAAGATAAAATCCTATCAGAGTAGCCTTACACTGGTACGAATTAGAAATATGCTCAATTATCTCCTAACCTACAACCTTAATGATCGACCTCCACAGCTTCCTATCAAGGGCCATGTCCTCGGAGATATGAAGCCACACAATAATCTTCCCGATCACCTCTCCCCAATACTTCTTAGGCCATCCTCTACCTCTTCTCGTACCTACCAAAGTTAATCACCCGCATCTCCTTACTGGAGCATCTGGGCTTCTACTATGTACGTGCCCGAACCATATGAACCTCGCTTCATGTATCTTGTCATCCATGGGAGCCACACCCACCTTCTCCCGAATATCTTTATTCCTAATCTTATACATCCTAGTGTGTTCACACATCAACCTAAACATCCTCATTTCTGCTTCTTTCATCTTCTATATATGTGAGTTCTTAACTGGATAATACTCAACCCCATACAGCATGGCCGGTTTAACTACCATTTTATAAAACTTAACTTTGAGTAGCGGTGACACATTCTTGTTGCACAAGACTCCAGATGCTAACCTCCATTTCATCTACCCATCCTTATACGGTGTGTGATATTCTCGTCGATCTCCTCATCCTCCTGGATAACCGACCCAAGGTACTTGAAACTGCTTCTCTTGGGGATGACCTGCGATTCAAGCCTCACGTCCATGCCCGCTTCCCTCGGCTCGGCGCTAAACTTGCACTTAAGGTATTTCGTCTTAGTCCTGCTCAACCTAAAACCCTTAGAATCAAGGGCCTGTCTCCAAACCTCCATTCTCTCGTTAATGCCTCCTCGCGTCTCATCTATCAGAATTATGTCATCAACGAATAACATACACCATGGAACTTCCTCTTGAATATGGTGTGTCAGTGCATCTATCACTAGGGAAAATAAGAACGGGCTGAGCACAGATCCTTGGTATAACCCCATAACAACCGAAAAATGCTCCGAGTTATCTCCTACTGTCCTAACCCGAGTCTTAGCTCTATCATACATGTCCTTAATCACCCTAGTGTAAGCAATCATCACACCTTTACCCTCTTTAGGAACCTTGTCATACGCTTTATCCATATCAATAAATACCATATGCAGATCCTTATTCATATAATTGTATTTTTCTACCAACCTCCTAATAAGGTGGATAGCTTTCATAGTAGAACAATCCGGCATGAACCCGAACTGGTTGTCGGATATAGACACCGTCCTCCTCACCCTCGCTTCTACCGCCCTCTCCCAAACTTTTATGGTATGACTCAGTAATTTGATACCCCTATAGTTGTTGCAACTCTGGATATTACCTTTGTTATTGTTCAACAGAGCCACCATACTCTACCTCCAATCATTTGGCATCCTCTTTGTTCTACAAAAACATTAAACAACCTAGTCACCCACTCTATACCTGCTCTACCCACACACCTCAATTTTGTCTGGCCCCATAGCTCTGCCCCTACTCATCTTACGCAAAGCCTACATGACCTCCTTAAGCTAGATACGCCTATAATACCCAATGTCACGGCGACTCTCGAAATTCCCCAACTCGCCTAGCACAATATCCCGATCCCCTTCTTCATTCAGAAGTTTATGAAAGTAAGTCTGCCATGTTCGCTTAATATGGGCCTCTCCCATCAATACTCTACCGTCCTCGTCTTTGATGCACCTTACTTGGTCCAGATCCTAAGCCTTTCTTTCTCTCGCCTTGGCCAGCCATCATAACTTTTTCTCCCTTGTATTTGACCTCTAGTTCATTGTACAGATAACCAAAAGCCATAGTCTTAGCCTCCGTGACCGCCAGCTTTGCCTCCTTCCTAGCTACCTTATATCTCTCTCTGTTCAGTCTCCTCTCCTCCTCGCATGTTCTCCCTACTAACTTTAGGTACCCCTCCTTCTTCGGTTCCAATTTACCTTGAACAACTTTATTCCACCTCCAGTCGCCTTTTTGCCTGCCAGAGTAACCCGTTGAGACCCTTAACACCTCTCTTGTCACGTCCCTTACACAATCCGCCGTCGTTGACCACATATCGCTAGCGTCCCCGCTACTCTTCCAGGCTCCCATAGCCGATAACCTCCCTTCTAACTCCTGAGCTTTATCCTTAGTCAAGGCTCCCCACCTGATCCTCGGTTGTCCTCGTGCAGACCTCTTCTTCATCTTCATCATAATATCGATGTCCATCACTAAGAGCCTATACTGCATCGCGAGGGTCTCACCCGGGATAACTTTGCAATCCTTGCACAAACCTCTGTCACACCTCATAAGAAGAAGATCAATCTTAGTCATTCCACCATACTTTGGAAAGTAACCAAATTCTCCTCCCTCTTCGGAAAGCTGGAGTTTGCAATCACCAGCTCAAATGCCCTAGTGAAATCCAACTGCGAAGTACCTCCTGCGTCCTTATTCTTAAAATCGAAGCCTCCGTACACCTCGCCATAGCCACCTGCAGTCGACCCATTGTTTGCATTAAAATCTCCTCCTATAAATAACCTCTCAGCAGGAGGAATATTACGCACAATCTCATCCAACCCCTCCCAGAAGCGCCTTTTAACCTCCTCATTCAAGCCCGCTTGCGGCGCGTAAGCGCTAACAACATTTAGGGTGCACTCTCCAACCACCAACTTAATAGTCATTAACCTATCATTCACCCACCTAACCTCCATTACATACTCTCTAATTTCCCTATCCACCAAAATACCCACAACATTTTTACCCTTCGGGACTCCAGAGTACTACAGCTTATACCCGTCCGCATCACTCGCCTTCGATCCTACCTATCTAGTCTTTTGGACACACACTATATTGACCTTTCTCTTCAGGATGATCTTCGCCAGCTCTATAGACATACCCGTAAATGTACCTATGTTCCATGATCCAATTCTCAACCTATAGGCTTCCTTGTGCCTCTTGCGTCCATTTCCTTACGTCCCACCCCTGTCCCCTGCCCCACCTTCGCCCCACCCTCGGCCCCCTGAGGACATGACATTCCTCTATCATCCTAGACTACAACCACTATACTACAACAGACTAAGGAGAATCACTAACACACAATAGGCAAACAAACCAAACTAGGAGAAAATAAGTTGTAACTACACACTCACTAATTGTATGATTTAAAATAATGCGAACTAAAAGCAACAATTCAACTAACACAAAGAAGAGAAAACATGAAAGCGGGAGGTACCAACTCCCGAGAATAGAACCTGGAAATTGTCTTGGTGTACACGACGATGTTGCGGCACCTGGCGCATTCGCGTCCAACTTTCCATCACCCCTTATTGACAATCGTCTTGGCTGCTCTCATATGTTTGCGCACGCGCTTCCCGCTCGTCTCCAATAGCCATCGAGTATTGCCTGAAAGACACACAGAATGCCCAAGAACCAAAAAGAGGGAGGTTGTCACCACTGCCACTGGTGAAGCCCTAGCAAAAGTAAATAAGAGGAAAAAAATAGCGGGGGNAAAGGGGAGGAGACTGCAATCGCCGGAATAGAGGTCACCAGTAGGACAACAGACGCCAGAGTAGACTGCTACTGTTAGGGTTAGGGTGGAGAGGAGAGGAGAAAGAAGGAAGAAGAAAGAAAGAATGGAGAGAAAGGAGTGGTAGAAGAGAAAGGAGAGAGAGGTGAGGGGTGGTCAGAAATCTTAACTGATTGCCGGCATCGACGCTAGTAGGATTTCGACAGAAGATGACCGTTGGGATTACTGTCGCAGAGAGAGGGAGAGATAAAGAGTCAGGGAGAGAGATAGTCTAAAGACAATGTGGTCGCAAAAAAAAAACCAATTGTTCTAAATTAAACCAGAACCTCCCCAAAATGAAACCAACCATCCCCGCAAGTCATAAAACCTCAAATGCACATACAGAAAGGTTTAAAAGAGATAACGAGGCTTTACTACACAAAACGACCAGTCCGGTCGTTGCAGTAGAAGATTAGCTTGAAATTCACATGAGGAGAGCTAACACTGTGTGATCTAGCCTCACACAAAAAATTATTTTTGCTTTTCACATTATACTTGTATTCTGAAGGGGGAGACCACATAAATTAAATGCAAAACAACCTCGTGGCCACTTAAACTTGCTCCTGATTGCCAACCCGATAAATGAACTTACAACTTTCCTATTTGAACTCCTCAATTCATACATTTGTGAACCAATAAACAAATTTGACCATTGACCACAAGTGACATCGACAAAGTGCATGCAACTCACAAAACTAGTGCGTGTGAGTAGAGTAATTTTGGATTAATTTTTTTCTAAAATCGGGAAAAACAATAAATGAAAAAGAAAGAAAGGCCCCATCCCATCCCTGTCTTTTACCAGTACACCCTTTCCCCTTCTTTCTCAACCACGGCCAAACCTCCGATCCCTTTCTAGCTACAAACAACTAATTGGCTAATGTTGGTAATAGTTGGCTAATATTACTAATATTTTATGAATTGATCAATTTTTATAATAAACGAATTATAAATGGATATAGTTGCTAGTTATCATTAAAGAACTTGTGTGGAATCTCTTCTCTCATATTCATCAACTAATGCAGACAAAATAGAGTATAGACAAGAGGGGTTGCTATGATGGTAAGCAACCCCCACTTCCAACCGAGAGGTTGTGAGTTCGAGTCTCTCCAAGAGCAAGAGGGGAAGTTCTTGGAGGGAAGGATGCCGGGGGTCTATTTGGAAACAGTCTCTCTACCCTAGGGTAGGGGTAAGATCTGCGTACACACTACCCTCCCCAAACCCCAATAAGTGAGATTATACTGGGTTGTTGTTGTTGTTGCTATCCACTTGCAAATATCTTTATGGCTAGTGGCTCTCATTAAAGTTATTGAAATAGTGGTGATGCAGGAAAAGTAGGAATAAAGAAAAACTAGGTTAAATAATTCAGAATAAGAGAGTAGTAATAATTTCTTCTATACGTTCTTTATATAAAGCATATTACAGCTATGGCAAGTGAAAGATGTCATCTCTAATGACAAGCTCAAGAAACTATCATCTGTCTCCCTTTAACATTCTCTCTTAAAAAAGTTGCAGATGGCAGATACAGCGATGAATTTTCTGTTGGAGAAACTGTTGCAGGTATTGAGTGAAGATGTTAAGCTGATAGCAGGTGTACAGGAAGAGTTTCAAGATCTGCTCGAACAAGTACAAATTCTAAATGCCTTCATAAATGATTTTGCAAAGTTGGTGAGGAAAAGCATTATGTGGAAAGAAATGGAAAAGGCCATTCTGACTACAGTATTTAGAACTGAGGATATCATTGATGAATTCTTGGTTGAGACGAGGCTTTACCAAGAGAAAAGTGTTTTTCAAAAGGCCTTCCATCTTCCCCACAACACGGTTAGACACCGGGATCTTTCAATAAAGATCAAAGACATCATTGAAGAGATGAAGCAAATTCCCCGCGGAGATAAGCAAGCTCTTTCACCCGCAGAAAATCTTCAACTTGAAATTGAATCTGTAAAAGGTTCCCAGGAGCCGAAGGTATTTTCCAAAAGCCAACTATTTTTTTTTTTCTTTCTACCTTTACCTATTACATGGGGAAGGATATAGGAAAAGGGAAAATTGGAAATAGTGAGAACCAAATCTACAACTACTATGTTAATTTTTTACTACTAAACTATAAATTTTGGTGGTAAACCAACAGTCTTGAAACCTTCTCCAGTAGATATAAGCTTTCCTCTTTTCATGAGATTTACGGTAAGGAGCAGCATATATGCCAACATAGAGCCCGTTTGGCGAAGGTGCCAAAATTTATTTATTACGGTACTTTTTTTCACTAAAAACGTACTTTTGGAAAAAATAATAATTTATGTTTGACCAATTCACTTTTTGTAATATTTGGTAAACAAATTAGGTTTGATCGGTCTTTCTAAAAAGCGTTTTAAGTGTCAAATTACTAAAAAGGATACCACCAAAGTCTTATAGTTCTTTTAAAGAGAAAAATGAACTTAAATATTTATCGTAAGAGACTTTATTATTTTTTATTTTATTTAATTAAAATATAAAACATAAAGTAAACAAACATATTAAAGATTTAAATCAATTTTACATATATAATTATAGCAAAATATATAATATTATCTAATATAGTTACTTATTGTGACATGATGATTTGAATTATCAAAATACATTATTCAGGATGAATTAGAAGTCTATTCCACAAATTACTATATATTGATAATCTACGATGAAATAATAAGTAAAGTCACTCACACATGATAATATTTTTCAACAATTCCATCTCTACTTCTATCATACAACGCCTCCATATTAGTAGAAGACTTGCTTTGCATTTCTAAAGGAATATCAGAAGGCCCATCTCCTTCCTCAATCTCCGTTGTAATATCTTCATTAGCATAATAGATGAATTCCTTATGGGTAGAAGAATATCATCGGATGAAATTATACGGTAGTTGTAACAAGATGATTCTGAGTGTAAAACTTAAACGATGGCATTGAGCGTAAAATAGAATAATTTTAAATATATAAAAATAAAATTTTTCAGGTTAAAAAAATAGTTAAGTATGTTTAAATCAAACAAAAAATATTAACTAATTATTAACAATATATAATGTATAATTTAATTTTCTTAAAATTTAAATTATAAAATAAACTAATTATTACCTAACCTTACTAACTTTGATCTAAATTGCCAAGTGGCCTATTGTGAGGTTGCCACTTGGCTTAATGTGGATGCTTTTTCTTCTTCTTCATTAATATATAGATAGTTTATGCGATACAATTGTAAATTTATTACCTATTTGTAAGTAAATTAGATTTGATAATTGTTTTAAAGATTCACGAACTAATATCATATAACAGAAAAAATCATAAATGATTATTTATAGGAAGAAAATTGATAATCCAAAAAAGGATGTAGATAATTTGCTTTAGTATGAAAAAATAAGAAGATAATTTAGAAAGTTACAAGACATCACACACAAAAAAAAAATCAAAAACAAGAAAAGTCAATAAAGAATTTGGAAAGTTACAATATGATTCATGTATATCATATCTTTAATTTCAAAAGAATAGTAAAAACTAGAAACAAAAATAAAATAAAAAACTTAAATTTGTAAGGATAATTTAAAAAATCTAAATTTATGGTGAAGATAGTTTTGTATTGAATAAATTAATTTTCAACTTCTGCTTCTACTTGTTGAAAGAAGGTAGAATTTTCTGCTTCTTCCCAAAAATAGAAAAACTACTAATAAAAGTATTTATCTGTATTGGCCAAACAACTTAAATTTTTAAAAATGTATTTTGTTGAGAAAAAGTACTTTTAGCCTCCCAGAAGCTTGGCCAAATAGGCTCTAGTATGCCAAGATAAATATTTAATGATTTAATTAGTTATATACATAATAAATTGGTTGTAGTACAAATTAACCAATTATAGCAAGTCATTAATCTATTCCTTTTATTATATCAAACTTGTTATAGACAATTTGTTTTTGTTGTATATAAATTAATTTGATAGGGTAAAACAACTACGGCCTCACTTGTATCATTCAGACGCCTATTATGTTCATAGGTTTTTCTTCTTCAGAACCATTTAATTATGAGCTTTTGAATCATTCAGATCTTGTATATATAGAATCTTATAATTTTTAAGACTTCCACTAATAAATTCATGTTATTATAACATTTACTTCTTCCATATATCTT